AAAATAAAAATAAATAAAAACCTGCACAAGAGTGCAAAGATGTAAACAGATTCGAAGGCAGGTTATATAGTACTTATATTGAGTATTACAGAAATTTAAAACTGCGAAAAAATCATATACGATTTCTAACAATTTTTTCATAATAATAAAAAAAAAATTAAAAAAAAAAACTTCTGATTAGCTGACATAAAGGCTGAACTTTAATTTATAGTATGAAATTTAAATCTAAACTAAAATCTGTACTTAGATTTAATGCAACTATATCATCAAAAGGCGTTTAAACTAATGAACACAAATTAATAAAAAATTCTTTAGACTATTCTTATCTAATTGTAGGGGGAATAAGCCGCCTTCAGTAGCAAACGCAAATATCTTTATGTCGATTACGGTACTAGTTTCGAGCACAATAGGCAATTGTATTGTGTGGCATGAACTACTGTAAGATAGCTTTGTCGCACTTAATTGTATTAAGTGGTATGCAGGCTAAACATTGTCATAGATGTTGTAGAGCTGGATTATGAGGAAATGTGTAGTTATACATACATATTGCAATCTATATAAATGTAGATTGGTATTTAATAAACAGTGATTAGTTGTCATGTGTTTATTTATGAGTTTTAGTGTAGTGATATGCAGGGGGCTGAATATGACTTTACTTCTGCTTTTACTACCCGTAATTTGAATTGTTTCGACAGTAAAAACTATTGCCAACAAAAAATGTAGGCAATACTGCAGATCGCCAAATCTATGAAATTGTATTCCGAAAATGAAAAAGCTTTCACTACAAGATGAACTTATTTTGTTAAAAATTACTAGACTTTTGCGACCAATTTTGAAAAAGAAATTTATTGTATACGATTTGTTTTCAACTCCTACATTTGTTGATCTACAGTGCGTATACGCGATATATACATTAGTCAACTAACTACTAACCATATTTCATTTTTAATTAATTAATTAACTGTAAGTAAAGCTTTAGTATTTAATCACATTGAAATCATTTAGCATAAAAAATATTCAGTTGTCAGTTTCTATTTTCATACCTATGTACACATTACTCAGGCGTGCGCTGCGTATGAGTAACATTTTTATATCCTTTGCAACTTTCAATTATTAATCGAAATTGCTGGATTAGCATAAAATAGATTAAAAACAAACAACAAAGCTATAATACTAAGGGCAAGAACCCTTTACAAATATGAAAAATTCTTCACAACAGTTTTATTTAGTCAGTTTGTATGGCAGCTACATATATGCTATAGTGATCCGATCTGAACAACTTGTGTGGAGTTTGCACAGTTGCCTTGATAACAAACCATGCCAAATTTTGAAGATATCATGTCAAATAGAAAAAAAAAATCCAACACAACTGCTTGATTTCGACCGGCCAGTTTGTATGACAGCTATATGCTATAGTGATGCGAATAATATTTTCGCATTGTGACATTCTCACATTCGAAAATAATCCATGATAAATTTCGTGACGATATTTTGGCAAATGAAAAAGATTTCTATAAAAGCAAGTTAGTTCCAGCGTCCAGTGGTCCAATCTGTTAAGGAGCTATAGTATTGTCTTAGAGAATAATCTATGCAAAATTTGGTAAATATATCTAGTCAAATAAAAAATTTTTTCGCACAAGGGCTTAATTTTGAGCGATCGGCTTGTAGGGCAGCTATATTATCTAGTGGTCCTAAAGCAACGATTCTGACAAATGAGTAGCTGTTTGGGGGGAAAAACACGTGTACAAAATTTCAGTTCGATATCTCATAAACTGAGCGACTAGTTAGCGTATATATTGACACACTAATCGACTTAGCTCATCACACTCGATCATCTATGTATATATCGTATAATATATATTTTATATGGTCTCGGACGTTTCCTTAGGGTCGGTGTTACCTCGTGACACACTGTATTATGACAATCATCTCTGAGCGTATAAATATTGTATACAGCCTTATTTCATCATATACATTATTTGATAGATGTTGGCCGGTACGTATGAGTAACATTTTTATTTCAATTAGAACACTCAAAAACTTCTCGAAACCATTTTGCTTTTATGATTTTAATCATTCATGTATTCAGTAATCCATTTTAAAATAATAAGTAAATCATTAAAAAATATTGAATAAGCAAAATTGTATTATTTCAACTAAGGAAAATATTATAGCTAAAAACCGGCTTTATGGCAACACCATTGATTAGCAAAGAAAAAATTGACTTGTGAAATATTTTATTCTTATAATTTTAAAA